AAGAATAGCTTATTGTTATTGTCATTAGTTTATTTAGTTTTAATAAAATATTAAAACTTCTTTAAATCTTTTGTCATTGATTTTTGCTGGCATTGGGTACTCTGACCCGTAACAGAATTGGGGGCTCGTCCGGGATATTTTAGATTTTCTTATCGGTAGCAATTTTTGTGTGTAAATTTACTACAGTAGCCAGCAGAAATCAATTCCACCATGGTATTCTCTGTCACCGAATTTCTCCAATCTCCTACGGTGGCAGACTTTGAAGCTTTGAGAAAAGATGAGTTAGTTGCCATAGCTTTACATTTCAATTTAGTTGTGAAATCATCCATGAAAAAACAAGAGATTAGAGGAATAGTAGTGAAGAAACTTGTAGATGAACAAATATTTAAGTCTGATGATTTACCGCCAATAATTAAGGCAGAAACCAACATTTCAGAGTATGAATTTGAACTGGAGAAATTAAGAATAGATAGACAGTTTCAGTTAGAAAAAGAAAGGTTAGAAATAGAAAGAGAAGAAAGAGATAAAGATAGGCAGTTTCAGTTGGAAAAACTAAGATTAGAGCACAGTGAAAGATCAACTTCACATGTCAGGTATGAATTTGATGCGGCAAAGAACATTAGGTTAGTTCCTAAATTCCAAGAAAAATCAGTTGATAAATTTTTCCCACAATTTGAAAAAATAGCAGAACATCTCCAATGGCTGTTTGAAGTATGGCCCACACTTTTACAAAGTGTTTTGGTAGGGAAAGCTGCTGAGGTGTATTCAGCTCTCAGTTTAGCAGAAAGCTCAGATTATGAAAAGGTGAAGTCGGCTATTTTAAAGGCATATGAATTGGTGCCAGAAGCTTACAGACAAAAATTTAGGAAACAGAAGAAAATAGAAACTCAGACTTACGTAGAATTTGCTAGAGAGAAAGAAGACTTATTTGCTAAGTGGTTTAGATCCAAAAAGTGTGAAAAGAATTTTGCAAATTTACGTCAACTTATTCTAGTAGAAGAGTTAAGGAATGTGTTTCCCAAGATCTAAAAATCCATTTAGAAAACAAGAATGTTGAAACTCTTGAGCAAGCAGCAGTTATTTCGGATTCATATGCACTAACCCATAAGAAAAACTTTGTACCTACATGTAGATCTCAGTCTCCCATCCAGTCTCCCAAAAACAATATTCTCTGTCCCAAGTCACCACATTACAGTGGTTCCACAACCCCACAGCCGGGTCGTTTTGAGTCACCTCAAACTGTAGGGTCATCCCCAACTTGCAATTACTGCAAGAAAAAGGGTCATCTCATTGGTGAATGTATCAAACTTAAGATGAAAAATGACCTTCTAAAGCGACAGACAAATGCCTGTGCAGCTTTAAGAAATGATAGGAAAGCCTTAGATTTGTTACATGCTGACACTCCTGATGTACAGGATTCAAAGTCCAGTTTTGTTGATTCTGTGGAGGATCATTATAAGCCCTTTTTGTCTCAGGGATTGTTTCACTCAGTGATTCTAGCAAAGCTTTAACTGTTCAGATTTTGAGAGATACTGGAGCTGCCCAGACTCTGCTGTTAGAAGGCGTGTTGCCTTTGTCTAAGGAGACGTCTATTGGTAGTTCAGTTTTATTACAGGGTGTTGAGCTAGGTGTCATTGATGTTCCCCTTCACAGAGTTTATCTGAAGTCAGATTTAGCTACTGGACCAGTTATTGTAGGTGTTCGACCTACTCTTCCCATTCAAGGCATTTCCTTGTTGCTAGGCAACGATTTAGCAGGTGGTTAAGTGATACCTGATCCCATTGTTTGTGAGAAAACAATTTCTGATGTCGTTTCTGATGATGAAGACGACTTGTACCCAGCCTGTGTTGTTACGAGGGCAATGGCTTCAAAACAAAAGGCTGAGGCTGATGGTACTCTAGTAGTGGATAAAGCTGATCCACTTAAAGAAATTTCACTTAGTGAAACGTTTATGACAACCATTGATGACAGTTTACCTGTAGAGTCATATGAAACCAAAGTGCCAGTTGACATTGATGTGTCTCTGAAGGCATCTAGTGTTGAGTCTGATTTGTCATTTGACAAGGGTAAGGACACCCTCAGTCATGAACAGTTACTGTTGGAACAAAGTAAAGATCCAGATATTGTCAGACTTACTAAAAGAGCTCTTCCAATGGAAGAAACAGCAAAAGTCGGAGAGTTTTTTTACCTCAAAGACAGCATCCTTATGCGAAAATGGCGTCCACCTGATGCATCGCNGTCTGAGGAGACGTCTATTGGTAGTTCATTTTTTGTTACAGGGTGTTGAGCTAGGTGTCATTGATGTTCCCCTTCACAGAGTTTATCTGAAGTCAGATTTAGCTACTGGACCAGTTATTGTAGGTGTTCGACCTACTCTTCCCATTCAAGGCGTTTCCTTGTTGCTAGGCAACGATTTAGCAGGTGGTAAAGTGATACCTAATCCCATTGTTTGTGAGAAAACAATTTCTGATGTCATTTCTGATGATGAGGAAGACGACTTGTACCCAGCCTGTGTTGTTACGAGGGCAATGGCTTCAAAACAAAAGGCTGAGGCTGATGGTACTCTAGCTAGTAGTGGATAAAGCTGATCCACTTAAAGAAATTTCACTTAGTGAAACGTTTATGACAACCATTGATGACAGTTTACCTGTAGAGTCATATGAAACCAAAGTGCCAGTTGACATTGATGTGTCTCTGAAGGCATCTAGTGTTGAGTCTGATTTGTCATTTGACAAGGGTAAGGACGCCCTCAGTCGTGAACAGTTACTGTTGGAACAAAGTAAAGATCCAGATATTGTCAGACTTACTAAAAGAGCTCTTCCAATGGAAGAAACAGCAAAAGTCGGAGAGTGTTTTTACCTCAAAGACAACATCCTTATGCGAAAATGGCGTCCACCTGATGCATCAGCTGACGAGGTGTGGTGTATTATTCACCAGGTAGTGGTTCCTGTAGTATATCACAAGGATATCATGAGTTTAGCTCACGACACCCCTATGGCAGGTCATTTAGGTGTAAATAAGACCTGTATCAAAATTTTGAGTCATTTTTATTGGCCAAAGTTGAGAAAGGATGTGTCTGAGTTTTGCAAGTCTTGTCATGTATGTCAGATGGTAGGAAAACCAAATCAGAAAATACCATCTTTTCCCCTGCAACCCATTCCAGCCTTTGAGGAACCTTTTAGTAGGGTGTTAGTTGATTGTGTAGGACCTTTGCCTAAAACTAGGTCAGGGAATCAGTATTTACTTACCATAATGTGTACTTCCACTCGGTTCCCTGAAGCTATACCTCTGAGGAATATTAAAGCAAAGACCATAGTTAAGGCCCTTGCAAAATTTTTCTGTTTTGTAGGTATCCCCAAGGCTATTCAGTCAGACCAGGGCTCAAACTTTATGTCAGGATTGTTTCAGCAGGTCATGCATGAATTAGGTATTAGGCAGTACAAGTCTTCTGCTTACCACCCTGAGTCTCAAGGTGCACTGGAGCGATTTCACCAGACCCTCAAAACCATGATAAAAACACATTGTTACCAGAATGAAAAGGACTGGGATGAAGGGGTTCACCTTGTGTTGTTTGCTGCACGAGAAGCTGTGCAGGAGTCCCCGGGGTTCAGTCCCTTTGAATTAGTGTTTGGTCATACTGTCAGGGGACCATTGAAATTATTGAAGGAGAAATGGTTGACTGAGACTAGTGATCTCAATCTTTAATACTATGTGTCTACTTTCAAAGAAAGATTATTCAGTGCTTGTAAATTAGCTCAAGAAAATCTCAAGGGTTCTCAAGCAAAAATGAAAACATGGTATGATAAAGATGCTAGGAAGAGAGAGTTCAAACCAGGTGAAAAAGTACTGGTATTTTTACCTCTCAATGGTCAACATTTACAAGCCAGATATTTTGGCCCTTACGAAATTGAAAGCAAGATTAGTGATGTTAACTATGTAGTTAAGACACCAGGCAGGCGAAAAGAAAAGCGAGTGTGTCATGTTAACATGTTGAAAAAGTATGTTGATAGAAGTGATTTTAAGTCAGTAGAATCTGTTTCAGCTGTGACCAATGTTAAGTCATGTACTGAAAATGAAATTGGTGTGGACACCAGTGAAAATGACTTTAATCAAAGTGCTTATTTGAAGAATTCCGAAATCCTGAGAGACCTTGATGTGAAACTTGAACATTTGACCAGTCATCAGAAAGAAGATGTTCAACGATTGATTACTGACTACCAGGATATTTTCCCTGATGTTCCAAAAAAGACGAATGCTGCTCTTCATGACGTCAGGGTAGGGGATGCTCAGCCTATCAAACAGCACCCATACAGACTGAATCCAATAAAGCTTCAGTATCTGAGAAAGGAAGTTCAATATATATATGCTGGAAAATGACATTATTGAACCAAGCAGTAGTGACTGGAGTTCACCATGCATTCTTGTCCCAAAGTCAGATGGAACTTATCGCTTTTGCACAGATTTCCGCAAAGTAAATTCTGTTACCAAAACAGACTCCTATCCTATCCCACAAATTGATGATTGCATAGATAGAATTGGCAGTGCGAAATTTGTCAGCAAATTTGACTTGCTGAAGGGTTACTGGCAAGTACCCTTAACTGACAGAGCTAAAGAAATTTCAGCATTTGTGACTCCAGATGGATTGTACCAGTACAAAGTTATGCCATTCGGGATGAAGAACTCGCCGGCCACGTTTCAAAGGATGATTCATTCACTTCTGCATGATCTTAAGGGATGTGAAGCCTGTATTGATGATGTCATTATCTACAGTGACACCTGGAAGGAGCATCTCCAGATTATGCGTGAATTCTTCAACATACTGGTGAAAGCAAATCTCATTGTGAACCTGGCAAAGAGTGAATTTTGTCAGGCTACTGTAGAGTATTTAGGTCACAGAGTGGGTCAGGGTTTAAGTACACCTATCATGGCTAAAGTAGAAGCCATCTCAGAGTTTCCAGTTCCTACCAACAAGAAAGAATTGATGAGATTTCTAGGTATGGCAGGATTTTACAGAAAATTTTGCCCAAATTTTTCCTCTGTTGTTAGTCCACTTACTAACCTCTTTAAAAAGAGGGTGATATTTAATTGGACAAAGGACTGTGATGAGTCCTTCAGGAAAATTAAGGCAATCCTTATGAGTAGTCCAGTTTTGTCAGCTCCAGATTTTGAGAGGCAATTTAAACTTGCTGTTGATGCTAGTGATGTAGGAATAGGAGCTGCTTTATTCCAGGAAAATGATGACAATGTAGATTGNTTCGTCAGCAAATTTGACTTGCTGAAGGGTTACTGGCGAGTACCCTAAACTGACAGAGCTAAAGAAATTTCAGCATTTGTGACTCCGGATGGATTGTACCAGTACAAAGTTATGCCATTCGGGATGAAGAACTCGCCGGCCACGTTTCAACGGATGATTCATTCACTTCTGCGTGATCTTAAGGGATGTGAAGCCTATATTGATGATGTCATTATCTACAGTGACACCTGGAAGGAGCATCTCCAGATTATGCGTGAATTCTTCAACATACTGGTGAAAGCAAATTTCATTGTGAACCTGGCAAAGAGTGAATTTTGTCAGGCTACTGTAGAGTATTTAGGTCACAGAGTAGGTCAGGGTTTAAGTACACCTATCATGGCTAAAGTAGAAGCCATCTCAGAATTTCCAGTTCCTACCAACAAGAAAGAATTGATGAGATTTCTAGGTATGGCAGGATTTTACAGAAAATTTTGCCCAAATTTTTCCTCTGTTGTTAGTCCACTTACTAATCTCTTAAAAAAGAGGGTGATATTTAATTGGACAAAAGACTGTGATGAGTCCTTCAGGAAAATTAAGGCAATCCTTATGAGTAGTCCAGTTTTGTCAGCTCCAGATTTTGAGAGGCAATTTAAACTTGCTGTTGATGCTAGTGATGTAGGAATAGGAGCTGCTTTATTCCAGGAAAATGATGACTTGTCCGGATTCACATCGGACTTTCACACAGGACACTTCATGCTTTCAGATAGGTTTATTTGTGTATTAAGAATAGCTTATTGTTATTGTCATTAGTTTATTTAGTTTTAATAAAATATTAAAACTTCTTTAAATCTTTTGTCATTGATTTTTGCTGGCATTGGGTACTCTGACCCGTAACAGAATGGGGGGCTCGTCCGGGATTTGAACCCGGGACCTCTCGCATCCACATTAAGTGGATCAGCTTTATCCACTACTAGAGTACCATCAGCCTCAGCCTTTTGTTTTGAAGCCATTGCCCTCGTAACAACACAGGCTGGGTACAAGTCGTCTTCCTCATCATCAGAAACGACATCAGAAATTGTTTTCTCACAAACAATGGGATCAGGTATCACTTTACCACCTGCTAAATCGTTGCCTAGCAACAAGGAAATGCCTTGAATGGGAAGAGTAGGTCGAACACCTACAATAACTGGTCCAGTAGCTAAATCTGACTTCAGATAAACTCTGTGAAGGGGAACATCAATGACACCTAGCTCAACACCCTGTAATAAAACTGAACTACCAATAGACGTCTCCTCAGACAAAGGCAACACGCCCTCTAACAGCAGAGTCTGGGCAGCTCCAGTATCTCTCAAAATCTGAACAGGTAAATCTTTGCTAGAATCACTGAGTGAAACAAATCCCTGAGACAAAAAGGGCTTATAATGATCCTCCACAGAATCAACAAAATTGGACTTTGAATCCTGGACATCAGGAGTGTCAGCACGTAACAAATCTAAGGCTTTCCTATCATTTCTTAAAGCTGCACAGGCATTTGTCTGTCGCTTTAGAAGGTCATTTTTCATCTTAAGTTTGATACATTCACCAATGAGATGACCCTTTTTCTTGCAGTAATTGCAAGTTGGGGATGACCCTACAGTTTGAGGTGACTCAAAACGACCCGGCTGTGGGGTTGTGGAACCACTGTAATGTGGTGACTTTGGACAGAGAATATTGTTTTTGGGAGACTGGATGGGAGACTGAGATCTACATGTAGGTACAAAGTTTTTCTTATGGATTAGTGCGTATGAATCCGAAATAACTGCTGCTTGCTCAAGAGTTTCAACATTCTTGTCTTCTAAATGGATTTTTAGATCTTGGGAAACACATTCCTTAAACTCTTCTACTAGAATAAGTTGACGTAAATTTGCAAAATTCTTTTCACACTTTTTGGATCTAAACCACTTATCAAATAAGTCTCCTTTCTCTCTAGCAAATTCTATGTAAGTATGAGTTTCTATTTTCTTCTGTTTCCTAAATTTTTGTCTGTAAGCTTCTGGCACCAATTCATATGCCTTTAAAATAGCCGATTTCACCTTTTCATAATCTGAGCTTTCTGCTAAACTGAGAGCTGAATACACCTCAGCAGCTTTCCCTACCAAAACACTTTGTAAAAGTGTGGGCCATACTTCAAACGGCCATTGGAGATGTTCTGCTATTTTTTCAAATTGTGGGAAAAATTTATCAACTGATTTTTCTTGGAATTTAGGAACTAACCTAATGTTCTTTGCCGCATCAAATTCATACCTGACATGTGAAGTTGATCTTTCACTGTGCTCTAATCTTAGTTTTTCCAACTGAAACTGCCTATCTTTATCTCTCTCTTCTCTTTCTATTTCTAACCTTTCTATTTCTAACTGAAACTGTCTATCTATTCTTAATTTCTCCAGTTCAAATTCATACTCTGAAATGTTGGTTTCTGCCTTAACTATTGGCGGTATATCATCAGACTTAAATATTTGTTCATCTACAAGTTTCTTCACTGCTATTCCTCTAATCTCTTGTTTTTTCATGGATGATTTCACAACTAAATTGAAATGTAAAGCTATGGCAACTAACTCATCTTTTTTCAAAGCTTCAAAGTCTGCCACCGTAGGAGATTGGAGAAATTCGGTGACAGAGAATACCATGGTGGAATTGATTTCTGCTGGCTACTGTAGTAAATTTGCACGCAAAAATTGCTACCGATAAGAAAATCTAAATCTCCCGGACGAGCCCCCAATTCTGTTACGGGTCAGAGTACCCAATGCCAGCAAAAATCAATGACAAAAGATTTAAAGAAGTTTTAATATTTTATTAAAACTAAATAAACTAATGACAATAACAATAAGCTATTCTTAATACACAAATAAACCTATCTGAAAGCATGAAGTGTCCTGTGTGAAAGTCCGATGTGAATCCGTCGACTGGAGATTGAATGGAGATAAATCGGCTCAAAGTTCAGTGAAAGTGTCCGATGAAATCCCACAGTAATTACGATGCAAGCTCCAGTAGAAAATATGAGTGTCTGTTCAGTGGTAAATAGGTTCCAAATAAAAATATTCTCCTTCAAAACGTCCCAAAACAAAACAAAAAAAAACAGTATCCTATCCGTTCATACTTCCAGCGTCTGTCTAAACTAACGCTCTCGGGATACCCATGCTCTCGCGATATGGTGACGTCATAAGCTGACCTACTTATACACAACATGGGGGCTCGTCCGGGAACTCTGACCCGTAACAAAAGAGGCCATTGATGTATTAGTCTTGGATGTCATATGGCACACTTTATATCAGACGGGTTTTGATTGATCTCAAAATGTGTATCATTTGGTGCAAAAGATGTCATGTATTTGGTACCCTGAGTGTCAGATCAACGTAAAACCTAGCTAGCTAAAATATACCTTGTGATGGAGTCGCTTTTACTAGCTCTGACAAACAGCGACAATCTGAGGGCGTTCTTCTTCAAAATTTTTCCTGGGGTGTTTCCATATTTGGAAGTCACACGTCACAGCTGTGTCCGCCTGGATCCATAATTGGAAGTCATAAGTCTCGTACGTCACAGGTTTGGCCGCCTGGAGCTGCTTTTCCCTGAAGTTATCTCGTGCAGACGAAACGAGAAGTAAAGTGCCTGACGAAGTTTGAATTGAAAATATCTTGCAGTCGAAGGTCAGTGCCACAATACAGGCAACATTCTGCTTTAAAAACTGATTTTGGTGTAGCCATTGCGCAGCCCTTATAGTGGTATCGGGCATACAGTGTAGCTGTCAAATTTGGCACACGGCAAGCACGTGTATTGTGCACGTGTATATCTCAGGACTAAATATTCTTTGATAAGCACAAAATACAAAAACATTGGATATATCTTTTCTTTTCGAAGAATATTATTCATTGTTTCACTTTACATCTCAAATACAGCAAATAAATTTAAATAAAGCAGAATTAAGTCTGTTTTACGTTTCATTTTGGTGTGATGACATTCAACTGCAGATTCACTGCGGAGTAGTTCTATTTGATTGACGGAAGTGTAACATGGCCGCTGTTCGCTAGATCCGGTATTGTTGATATGGGTTATATATGAAATCAAGATCGAGCTGGCAATACCGGAATCTAGAACCTAGGGTAGTATTTGGTTACATTAGGGTAGTTTTCCTTTCTGATATAGTTACCTTCAGCGGCCTATCTCGGTATCTGCCCTTAATTTCCTTAAAAAAGAATCTCTAGAGCCTGTCAGTGTGCTTGTGTTATGTACCTGTGCCGCTGCCTTAATCAAAATTGCAGAAAAAAAGGTTCCAATATCCGTAATTATGTGTCATTTTCTATGCAAAAACAAATTTCCTACTGATTTTAAATGTATAACATAGAGGCCATTAATTAATTAGACCTCGATTTCATGCATCTTAAATCAGACGGGTTTTGTTTAATATAGAGTTGTATCATTTGGGGCAAAAAGTGTCATGTGATGTAACAGCTTAATTGTTACATTGGGGTAGTTTTTCTTTCAGATATAGTTACGATCAGCCGCACGATCTGCCCTTTCCTTTTCAAATATATCCAGTGACTGTCAGTGTGCTTGTGTTATGTACCTCTACGTGTGTGCAGGCAAGTGGGTGTTTGTGTTTAGTTAATTGATGATAGTTAATTTGAAAGATTGTCAGCTTTTGATATGATCTAAACCACTCGAGGCGACCTTAGTCTCGAGCATCACATATAGTGTCAACGTAGTTAGAAAAAAGTCACGAAAGACCGTCACAGGCAAAGAAAAAAGATTTTCAACGAATGCCAGACCCCTTTCTGGCGTTTTGGTGCATCCCACGTCAACACACTGAGGCATATAACGAAAATTGCCCAACTCCGTTCATCATAACCTTCCCTCGCTTCACTGTATTCAGTTTGAAGCTCTGTGTCTCTGCCTTAATCAAAATTGCTGAAAAAAAGGGTTCCGATATCCGTAATTATGTGTCATTTTCTATGCAAAATTGCCCAACTCCGTTCATCATAACCTTCCCTCGCTTCACTGTATTCAGTTTGAAGCTCAGCTGTTGCAAAGACCTTTGGCCTTTTTGTCCCCACATGACCTAGATCTGTTACTTCATTTTTGCATATTGAGGTGGGGTTATCTAAAACGCTTTATTTCTAACAAAAAAAAAAAAAAAACTGTTTATAAACCATTTATAGGGTTATCGATACAAAAAATATCTCTATTGTACATATTGGGTGCTGCATCTAAAAAAAATCGAGAAATGGATTTTTTTTTTTTTTTGGTACAGCTACGTCCTTTTAAATTGTTCTACTTATATTTTTCCTTTGTCAACAATTTTCTTAGTTTAGTTGAGCTCAAAATATGACAGGAAATTGATTATTTTGTTTTATGTAAAACGTGTTGAAAGGGAAAGAAATTCATTTCAGTACAGTTATCTCTGGTGTACATGTTAGCATTTTCAAGGTATGACTTAGAAATTTCATGGGTCTGAAAAATTAAGCTATTCACATTTTCTACACACCCATGTTACCTGCAGTGCATTGTTAAAGATTGGTGGTGACTATGCTGTTAAGCATTATGTGATATTGCATCAAAATTGAAGAAAACCCTATTTTGGGCACTGTTGCCATAGTGACCATCAAAGGAAAAGCATGTCACTAACTCTTCTTAAACTTACAGGAAAGAAACATAGGGCTTAAATGCAGCTTTATCTGGATAACAAGCATGGTTGGTTGATTTTTCTGGAAGTTATACATGTTTGGTGAATTTTTAATTTTTCACATACAGGGGGTATTGGCAATTTCAAGGTGTGACTTTAAACCTCCATGGGATTGAAGACCTTTGCCAAACACACTGACAGGCTCTAGAGATTTTAAAAGGAATGGGCATATTAACAAAAAAGGCTGCTTAACGATATTATATCAAAAAGGAAAACTATCCATATGTAACAATTCAGCTGTCACTCCACCAAATGATACAACTTGAGATTAATCAAACCTGTCTGATTTAAAATGTATGAAATCGAGGTCTAATTAATCAATGGCCTCTATGTTATACATTTAAAATCAGTAGGAAATTTGTTTTTGCATAGAAAATGACACATAATTACGAATTATTGAACCTTTTTTCAGCAATTTTGACACAACTGCGTTAAAAAATAATATTCTGACAGATTTGATGAACAGGCGTTGTCGGTAGATCTATTAGTAAGTAGTTGAAAATAAGCATTACTCAGTCAGTTTGCCCTCGACTGTTCAAGAGAGAGAGAGAAAGAGAAAGAGAGAGCAGACTTCTGAAACACTTGTGGTATCACAGTGACATAACAGGTAGGTAAAAGCTTTGTAACAAACAGGTAGGTAAAAGCTTTGTAAGACGTATTTGTATTATAATTTATCGACACCATACAATAATTCAAACATACAGGTGTATATGTCACAGGCCAGACTGAAATCCTGACAGATTATGAACAGATTATAAAACTGCCTACGCCAGATTGATATTCAGAGTCAAAGACAATTTAAAATAGAATGATCGCAACTATATGTGTGTGTGTGTGTGTGTGTGTGTGTGTGTGTGTGTAAAGAATCTCTGAGCATGAACACATTGAATAAACTACATGTACATGTATGTTGCATGCGGATATACACAATATTTACTTCATCTTTTTTTTTTGCCTCACATACGGGTTCTTGAAAAGCATGTCAATACTGTGTGTATTTCGATAAACATTTTGAAAATTCTGCGCTGCTTCCGCGACACTTTGAGTGAAAAAGTTTAGAAAAAATGTTTGGAATCCCAAGTGTTTTAAGATTGCAGATCAGTTAGGTGCGGAAAACTCTCCTAAGGGGATTTCAAATCATGCCTGGTTTTCAATCTGGCTTATGCTCGTGATATGTGTGTGAGTGTATTACCTATAACAACAACTCCAAGCAAACAAGGAGCTTTTTTAACGTTTTAACGTGTGCTGGGTTCATACTTCGACGAAAAAAAATGGGCAAGAAGATATTTATTCAAAATAAAATAACGTAAACATATTGAATGACATGGGGCAATTATTTAAGATGATGACTAAACAAGAGCCAGAACAGAATGTTGTTGAGTAGTAACAGTTTGCCAAAATTTTGCTTTAGGCGTTTTATCCCCTTAACTAACTATATCTGCTGTTAAGGAGATACGAGTGGAAATCGTCAGAAAAACACGTCTCACCACTAAAAATAAATGCAATCGAGATTTTACAGGCTTTGTAATAGCTTAAGGTGATCGGAAAATAACTAATGGAGGTCTATCGAGTGCGATGTGACAACGATTAAAACTGACAGAACGTAAACATTGCTTTTTTATGCTTTTTTATTTTTTTTTTTATCTCTCCCCCACCCCCCTGTAGAATTTCGGTATTTTGTACATTTGTATTTACATTAGTGTGTATTAGGGTGTATTCACTGCCGATATGTTTGCGTGTTATTTTGTACTGTTTTCATAAGACATTTTATAGTGCTTCACCCGTATTGCTGCAGGGTTACGTATAACTGTGTCTCATGGATTCTGGAACGATTTCTAGAGCGCTGAAGTTAGTGTCTAGTTTCTAGTTTCCAGTTTCGTTTTTCAAAAACGAACCTGGCAACCAGAAACTAGTTTCGGTTTTTCAAAAACGATTCTGGCAACCAGAAACTAGTGTCGTTTTTCGAAAAACGATTCTGGCATCCAACACCTAGTGTCGTTTTTCAAAAACGATTCTGAGAAGCCAGAATCGTTTTTGCGAAGAGAAACAGGGGTGGGCAGAGGGAGAGGCAACCAGCGGTGTGCGTGTACCGCGATTAGGTAACCCTCCATCCCCAGAAATGTACTGCATGACGTCACGCCTAGCCCACTGCGCATGCGTGCATTTTTAATGAGTTGCTAGATTGCCTTAGGAAAATGAATGGGTTCGCGATTCGTGAGAATTCGTGAGAATTGACAAACTAACGGCCTGGTGCCGATAGACAGCAACGCTGTGCTATACTTCAAGCAACTCCTGACCAAATATCGCTAGGGTTTTTTTTTTAATATGTTGTACACACGTACTAAGAAGTTTGCCGTATATTGCCCAGCCTACCCTCAACAAAACGCAAATATTTTTAGTAATAGTGTTTTTAGACGGTAGATTCACTCAGAAACAAAGGCAAATTAATTCGTTGCCGATAGCACCAGCAGATAGCAGTAGCACCAGCAGATAGCAGTACCATACAGAGTCTGATTAAAAACTTTCATGGCAATTGAAAAAATTTTACCACTGTACAATGGAGTCCAAAAAGAGCACTTGGCACAAATGTAAAACTGCCCAGTGCAAGGCCAAGAATTCAATCAGTATTTTCAATCATATTATCAGATTCTTCATAAATTGACTGACCGTATCACTACTCAGTATTTAACTAAGCTCTTAATCCAAAATCCCTATCATCATTTAATAATTATGCAAAATTCTTCTTTCAGATTGCTATTTATTTAAATTTTTAATGCTGCGACTGTTCCAAAATAATTTTGTAGTAAAGGAAAAATGCAAATAAGAAGTGGAAGACCAATTTTACCCACAGTATTCAATTATTTGAATATAAAAAGAATAAGATCACGATTTAACAAATTAAAATAATCTTTCATGAACCCTTCCATGAATAACATAATTAAACAAAAATAAAAGTTATAAATCAGTGGTAATGGCTTATTCTGGAATATATGACCTCTGCACATCATCAGTACCTGACTTGGTACAGTATAGTTACTACTTGGATACATAGATTAATAATGTAACAATAAGAACAATATATATTATAATAATAAACTTCTCTGCACATATCAGACGCTTGTTACCATGAACTAACACTACTTGACAATGGGCTGAGCACTTATCACAGAGTCTGTGTGCGATGCCATTCTTGTGCTGTGATTGGTTAGTTGAGTCACGTGAAGCCCTACTGTTGCGCCCTCGCGTATCACGTGAATGCTGCACATTTCTGACCATGACCGCGAAAGCCGGGCAGGGTTTTACGGTATCTACTCGACGTGCGCTGAGACCGAGACGGTCGCCGATTATTGCCTACGGGGTAACTCTCAGTGTTTCAAAAAACGACACTGGTCTCTGGGCATCAGAATCGTTTTTGAAATATTCAATAATATTAAAAATTACACTTCAAACTACAAAGGGAGGCCCCGGGGGCCCCTTCCCCCTCTTCAACCTTACCCTTATTCCCCCACCCCCACTTAAACTTGCCTCTCCGTCTGCCCACCCCTGTTTCTCCCCGCAAATACGATTCTGGCTTCTCAGAATCGTTTTTGAAAAACGACACTAGTTTCTGGATGCCAGAATCGTTTTTCAAAAAACGACACTGGTTTCTGGTTGCCAGAATCGTTTTTGAGAAACGACACTAGTTTCTAGTTGCCAGAATCGTTTTTGAAATACGACACTAGTTTCTGGTTCCCAGGTTAGTTTTTTTGAAAAACGACACCAGTTTCTGGTTGCCAGGTTCGTTTTTGAAAAACGAAACTGGAAACTCAAAAATAGACATTAACTTCAGCGCTCTACGATTTCTAGTCTCGCATAACTTCAAGCAGTGCCGACAGTTTAGTTTTAGGATATTCCGGATGATTTCCACCATTTTTTCTAAATATTGTTCTGTTCCATTGCGTCTTTTTCAGTTGATTCGCGTGTTTAAAGATCATCTATGAAAGTCTGCACCTGAAGAATGTTTTTTATATACCTTCTAGGAAAACTGGAGATGTTTTTCTTGCGCATCGCCGCCACTCTCATGGTGTTGTTGCCGCTGGTTACCGCCCAGAAAGCCAGTAAGTCACCTGCAAATGTCTTTGATTATCGGAATCTTTTATATCAGAATTTACTTGTATAGCAATTATAATGAATTAATAAATATAATTTAATATTTTTACTATTGTAAACGATTATTTCCGCATGTTACATGTATATTCAAAATAATGTACATTGATTTCATTTGCTTTGCATTTTGGCAATTATATGTTTTTATTATAGTGCACAAGGCAATATACAACATTTACTTTCAAAGTACATTGTTGCAGACTATTTAAATAAAACTTGTTTTTTTTTTCAAATTAAATATAAAAGACAAATATCAGTCCTCTTTTTCCTCACTGATATCGAAACGGACAACAACTCTTGGGGATGGGAAATAAATCCTAAATAATAATGTTTTTTTCCATTGCAGTTGTGCTTCTTCGGTCCAAAAATTACGAGGATTATACCTGGGGGGTGAGGGACAATGGCGACGCATACATCAAACAGGGCTACGGCGGGGATGCTTTTCGCATTTTACCAGGGTTAAGCGGGAAGAAGAACGGGAAGAAAACCGTCTCCTTCATGTCCCTGGAGCATCCATGCTCCTATCTCCGTCACTATAATTTTTTCTTGCACCTCGAAAGCTCGAAGAACCCAAGGAATGCTAGCACCTTTGACGAGAACGCCTCCTTTATCCCTCGACCTAACCTTTTCTTCCGAGGGTACACGGCGTACGAATCAGTGAACTACCCCAACCACTTTATCCGCCATGGTGACTTCAGGCTGCAGATACGACCATACGACCGCCATCCCTTGTTTAAGACAGATGCCAGTTTCAAGCCGGAGAAAATAGGTTCGTGTATATTTTGTGTACAACATATAACCCATGTTTTTTTTCTACTGTACAATTGATATGAAAGCATATACTGTGGCCGAGTGGCCTCCCTTTCTCTCTCTACTCTGCAAACTGCATACTTTCTACTTGTGTTTATTTGTTTTTGTATCATTTCAGTGTTGCAGAAAAGATGTAGCAACTAATCTCCTGTCACTCACGCCTAGGCCGGGGACGTTTGATATGCAAAAAAAAAAAAAAAAAGGCTCCACGTTCAATGGCCTTATGCGTGGAATAGACTAGANACTGAGTTTGAATTGCAATCTGTCTGATATGTTGGGCGTTTTTTTTTTTTTTTTTTTTTTTTTTTTTTTTTTTTGTTTGTGTGTGTGTGTGTGTGTGTGTGTGTGTTATTCTCTTTCTCCATTACCACTGCCACCGCGCACTAAATTTATGACTTGACATACCGCGTTTTGTCATATTCGAGTTCATGTTGACCGTGGCTAGGTGAAGAACTAATGTATGACAATAGTAACTACTTCTAAATTCAGTTCTAAAAACACATTTTAAAATAAAGAAGAGAGCACAGACCTTTGCCAATTCAAGGCAGCTCACTTTTCATTTTTTGAAAGCAATCAAAATCAACCACCAAAATGTAACAGATGCATTTAAGTCCATTTCTGATGCTTCTAAAAATGTCAAAAACCGTCCAAAACTTTCTAAATCAAGCGGTTCAGAAAGGTTGCATTTGCCTTCAATATCCTTGCGATTTCTATTTAGTGGCCGTACCTGTATGTATCCCCTTTAAGTGCGAATATATCCCCTTTAAGTGCGAATATTGTACACGAATTAACACCATGGATTTAATGTACCTACTCCGAGGAGCTTGTTCTTTATTTCACCCATTTTTTACCCCCGTTTGTCTTTCTGTCTGTCTGTTTGTTTGTTCAACACCAGTCTAACGCAAAATGATTTGGATGGGTTTTGAACAATTTTTTAGGATAGATTGGAAATGGGCAAGTTTACAATTGGTTAGATTAAATTCAGTCGTGATCCAGATTTTTTAAAATGATACTTATCCATTGCAATATAGGATCATTCACCTTGACCAAAAGGTGTTATAAGGTCATTGTACAATGGATGTCCTCTCAACTACCACAATTAAAAAAAAAACACCTCTAATTATGTCTGATTATTAAAAGTGATGAATGCATGACCCAAACTATAATCAACACGCGTGCCCAATTATATAATCCTCTGAGCTTTGCTTCCAGTTATGTCCCCTTCTATTGTCCAGAAAGGGGGCAGATGGCAACGCTACGCGATCATGCCTCCAGAGGGCTACGTCTCGATTAAGCGACTATCAAGTTTCTTTCTGTTTTGGCTGTACTTAGGCTTTGTTTATTTTTAACAGGACGACTGCTTTTACAAGCAGTCTTCTTCAGTTAGCTTTTTGATAGACAACGAACCCCTTAAGCTGACCCAACCTGAGAAATGACATAGATTCTAGATCACATTTTGGTTCAGAGAAAAGGGCGTTTCGTTCGAACACCCCAATCGTTGAAAATTTGTTCTGAAAACTGTAGAATTGACTGAATTAAAATACTTTTTGGTTATTTATTACTTTTGTTGTAATAAATATAAGCAAACGTCAGAAAAGAAAACCGTCGGTGTCGGCCTATTTATTAGATAAATTGATATTTTATATACTTTGGAGGCTAAAAACGCAAGAGTTGTCTGGTTCTCAAATCTAAGCACGGTGTTTTGTTCGTTTGCTCATAACACAGGGAAACATATATGGGGTTGTGTGTAAAATTGTAACTATTTTATTGGCTCGACCATGATGCCAATAGCGTGCCGTTATGTGCAGTTGTAGTTATGTTTATAGTGAGGGTGTTTGCTTGAAAAAGACGCCCAAAAGGAGTCATGTCATTTTGATATATACATTTGCAGTTGTCACTTCAAGACCGTCTAATTAAGTTCTTCTGTCAAAATTGTTAAATGTTAAATTATATAAGCCATATACGGCTGTTGCGTTGTAGCTTTTTTTTGGAATGAAAATAACACTTGCCTATCAGCATAATAATTATGAATTTTGAAACATATGATATACACAAGAGGACGTGATTATCGGAAAACCACACATTGGTGAAGAAGTAAATCGTTTCTTAAGGCTAAACAATTGCGGAACACAATCCCGTCGATAAGTAACACCTAAATGACAAGGTTTAAGATATTTATTGGTATTATCATTATTCCATAAACCTTTAATAATGTTGGTTTTTCAACTCTTTTGAGTACAATTCCTATGGTTTCTTATGCATGGTTTCCAGTGCAGATAAATGGCATCGTATATAGACGCACAAAGACATTAAAATCCACCATAGTAACGGGGTTGAAGTTGGGACCGAGCCAGTCCTACGACTTGCAGGTACTCTGGGAAGGTTTTATATTTGAAATAGCAGCCTGGGGAGGCTATGGCTTTAATTTTCTCGTCATTTACATTGTTACCAATACAAATCACGCAGATAAACCAACCTGGAAATAAACATATAGTTAATAAAATTAAATAAAATTAAATTTATTCAAATGAAAATCGAAAGGTTATGAAAAGGAGGCAACTGTGGACGTGGCCCAGATGTTAGATCAATAATTATGGTGTTATCAGAACGATTTAATGTTCGAATATAATACCCAGGTCTAAAATGTATGTATTTCGGCCAAGCACACTTTCAATGGTAGTTCCCTCTTTCATAACTAGCTGGCTTATTGCCAACCCGATAATAATGGAAAAAAATAATGATAAGACTATGCCCCATTGTAACTTAAACAATAATTTTCGACTACTTTTTAGACCCCATTCCCATACCTAGATCGACACAAGATTGTTAATTTGCCCCTAAAAGCTTCAGTACGCGTGCCTGACATCAGTAATTTAGAGAGAAAACCCTCGGAGAAGGGATAAACTAACCTAGTTTCTTAATGTGTGTTGCTCTTGGTCGTGCATCGCCCACAGTGAACACCCCGTCAGTAAGTAGCCATATTAACTTCGTGTTCTCTTGCAAGAAAAAATCTTCAAACATGAGCTGTGCGGTTTCCAAGGCCAGTTTACCGTTCGTTAGACCACCTTGGGTACAGAAAATAAGTTTTCAGTGGTGTGTGTTTTATCAGTGTTATGTTTTAAACGTTTTAAACAACAATCATTATTTTGAGAGTTACATTGGCATCAATGTAAATTCAAGTATAAAGTATCCTTGTATAGAATGTATGTCTGTGTTTCCCTGTGTGTGTGTGTGTGTGTGTGTGTGTGTGTGTGTGTTTGAAAAAGAAAGAGGGAGAGAGAGAGAACCACCGGTTTTATTAATCGCGTCATTGTCAGCTTAAACGCACGCCCGCTCGTGTGTGTGTGTGTGTGTGTGTGTGTGAGAGAGAGTGAGAGAGAGAGTATAGAGAGAGAAGTAAGAGTAAAGGAGAGAGATTTTATATAGAGAGAAGTGAGAGTAAAGGAGAGAGGAGAGAGAGACCCACCGGTTTTATTAGCAATCGCATCTATGTAAGCTAAAACGCTGGCCAAGTCAGTGTGTTCATTCAGCTCGAACTCTCTCGACACGTTTGTGGCAAACGTCAATGCACCAACCCGGGATCCACCAGGGCGAATGCGATGGACGACATTAATGATTGTGGCAATAATCTGAAAGAATGTTTAATTATATATTTTGTATATACAAGGGTAAATAGTTTTCGATTTGTGAATTGTCAAGATCATCCTCCGAAAACGTTACAGAAATGCAAAACATGTTATAGTCCCTTTTTATATATCAATTTGTCTACAATAAATATTTAATATTTCAGTGTGTATAGGTGCGGCAGTAACTAATATTTCACCTGACATGTAAATTGGCTATTCATAGACATGGGAAAAATCGCAAAACACGTTGTGTTTTGTAAATTGCAGGAAACAAGAAAAATTAAGGGCATGTTTACTAGTTTACGTGAATTATCGAAAAGAAACCCATTACCTTTGATGCAGCTTTTTGTAATTGAAACTCTGTATCCTTAATGCTGCCGCTGGCGTCCAAAGCAAACACAACGTCCAGATTAGGATTCCTGCAGGAGGTGTACGTGTAGGAACATGGAGTGAGGAGAATCCTTAAAATCCTAGAGAGCTGACTTGCCTTTGTTGATGCCCCTTGTAATTTCATGTAACATTAGATCAATTCGTGTTCTTAGTAATGTCTTAACACATTAATTAGGATGATGGTAAAAGGTATACTGGTACAATACATTATGGTCAATTTATTGTTATTTAGAAAAAAGAGTATACATGTATGAGAAAGACATAAATTGCCAAGACCACTTGGAAGTCGGTATTTTCTTTGGATCAAAATAATCTCGTCAGGCCCACTGTACAAAGAGCTATGGCCTTTGTGTCTCTTACAACCGTTAACAGAGGTACAGGAAAGTTTGCAATGGAAAGGTGCCTTGCGAGTCTCAGTGTCCACGTGAGATTATAATACTTTACGTGCTGACAACTGGCCGATCATTGAGCATTCATTCTGATACAAAATCAATGCTCGTGCGTCCTTATTAAGACCACAGCGATGCCAAATTTCATGGTCGCAGAAAAGACGCGGTCCAGTGAAAAGAAGGTATTACGAAGAGAATACTACGCATGGCGAAAGTAATCTCATTTTGCTTCACACTTGCCTCACACGCTTATATTAACGTACTGACCGCGTACGTCATTTTTGCATTCTGTTCCCCCTTCTTTCTTTTTCTTCCTTCCTTCTTTTCTGTTCTCTGAGCTTCTTTCCCTTGCCTTTTGGAGGCATATTAGGAGCTGAACTAAGCAAATTTCGAATTTTTGAGATGTTGTACACGAGGCTTAAAAGTACATACGAACCAAGCATCGGTGGAGCTTGGGTTTTCATTAACACATGTAAACCACTTCGACTAGTTTCTTATACGACTCAAGTTAATTCGCCATGCCAAGGGATAAACTGGATAGATCACTCGATCAGCCATAAAAGAGCTTTAGACTGCTCCTTTCTTTAAACTTTTGGTCGAAAATTTAACCTACTTTCGTGACCTACTTTTCTGCCACATTGACGCACAGCATAGAATGCTAGCAGCAAAATCCATTCAAACATCATTTTCAGGTAAAATTTAAATCAGGTAAAATTTGCGGCCTCGCTGTTCGCAGATTATTCGTAGAATCTTTTGGTCATGTCCAGCATCCTCCGTACGTGCTTACGGGCTGCCGCGAACTTTAAATTTCGCAAGAAGAACTTGCTCGGC